AAAAAAAAAAATTTGCAAAAAACATAAATGAAGCATCAATGTTTAATACATCAGTCGGAGATATACAGTACAGTGTATGTCCCACTAGATTATGCTACTGGATAAATCACAGAGCTATAATAGGCTCAGGGGTTTCTTCCTCTGCTTTCTCTATCAGCTTATTGGTGTCCACCACATCGGGCTGAGATCGTTCACTGTTGAAGTACAGTGGATTGTCAAAGGTGGGTAAGGTATGAGGGGCCTTCTTGTAGATGAAAAATCCAATGGCTATCAGCGAAGAAGTGATGGCAATGACCAGCACAACTATCAAGCTCGTGTGGACACGATTGCGAGGATCATCACCTCCATGTGGTTCTGCACAGATTAAGTCCAAGTGATCAGTCCGAACAATTCAAGACAAAATTTTACTTTTAATTCATCATAGGACACAAATTTAGGGGATACATGTGTAACTTACTAGGTTTTGTGTCTGGATCATCCGTCATCACTGATGGGGAAGAGGAGAGGAATGATTACATAATTAATCTCTTTGTCATTTTATCTGCTCCACCCTACATCCCTACATCCAGGTCAAAGTTCCCCCCTCCCCCCAAACAACCTTTACTATAGTTTTGTCAACATCACAGTGAAACAGTGTCTGGCAGCTTATCAAAGCTATTTTCAGATCGACATCAGTAGAGTACTCACTGTGCTGGTGGCCACTAGTCTTCTGACTGAGTTACCGCAGCGAGTCGATTCCTCTCTCTCTCTCGTTCCTTTCAAATCATTATTTTCTATGACTGTTTACGTTATTTACACCATAGTCTTCTGAGCTCATAATCTTTGACAGATTTAATTATTGTCTGTTGTATAAAATGTAGCCGTAAAAATGTCAGGAGATGCTCAGAACTAGTTTTCGCAGCATTACAGCAGCCTTCCCCTTGCTCATTTAATTGAACGAACCAACGTTTAAGTCTGATCAACTCAACAGGACTCCAAATCGCTCACTTGCCTTGCAACATTAAGACTACAATCAACCCATTACACAGCTCTGTGAAAGACCATAACTACAGGGATACTCAATCATTTAAAAAGAATATCTGTTGTAATGAATGAGCACATTTTTTTTCAAACCTAAATTATAAGACAAGAGATTGGCTAATATCAGGATCAATATGGTATCCTTTCTCTCCAGAGCAGTAGAGAACTCAGCATAGTTTTTTCCATTAATCTGTGCAAATTAGTGAGGCTCTGCACCTATAAATTCAGGGATAACCTTGACATCCCCTGTGCTCAGGGACAAATATCCTCCAATATCCACTAAAAGGCAAATGTCTTGTAAAAACTGAAATATATTTTGTATTAGCTTTTTACGAGTGTGTATGGTTCTGTCATACTGCATTGGATTGTGTAATGTGCTCATTAAAATATCATATTCTAAACTGTGCGACTATGATGATCATACCTTTAGGAGTTTTACAGATGTATGGTCGATCATGCCATCTACGACCTGATTGCCAAGTCCCATCTGAGGTTGCGACATTTCCAAAGTCAGAATCCGGCTCATCTGCAGCCCAGTTGGTGTAGTCCAAGACTGTTTTATCCAACCACTTCCATATCCCTGTGCCCAACACAAACATATTCATACCATTATGTAGCTGTATGTGCTGGCTAAACAAGAGAACAAAAATAAAAGAGATAAATTACATTGTAGAAAATAATGAATTAGAGTTACAATTCAGTTAATTTGGTGTCTTCCTAGATTAGCTCACTTTGATCAGTGGGAGAACTGATTTTATGATTGGTTTGTTTAATTTATCTTGTTTAAACTGATATAAATTAGAAAGTTTTTTCTCAGTGTGACCATACCTTTATGAGTTTTATACAGGCCGATCCAGAACGCAGAATGGCTGTCTTGAAATATTTCCACATTGCTTTTAATGAATTGTTGCTCAGAGGGGTCTTCAATGCTAGCCAGGATTCCGCCTTCACACACACAAAAAAGAGTATGATTTCAACAATTACTGTATTGCAGCTTTTTCTCAGCCAATACATGATCTAATATTGGACAATGACATTCTCTCTGAATATAGTGTCTCTTACCATGTCTTGCACAACTACTAGCTGCATTTGCCCATTCAACTTCCTCCGTGATAAACAAATAACAGTGACCCTTAAATGGCATCCAGGAAATTCTCTGGTGGTATTCTTCACTCTCTTCAGGGCAAGTTCCTGGGAATATGGTTGAATCTGTTGGTGCCACATCTGTGAGTAAAAGAGATAGTGATGATGAGATCAACTCATAACAGGATTTCTTACAGTGATATTCAATGTCCTGAACATGAAAGCTTCATATACTAGAACTCTTGATCATTGTCATATAACAACATGACTGTAATACCTCATGACAGTCACAGATCAGTGAAACGTGAACAAGCAAACATTATTCTTCCCTGTACAGTTTGTAATTCAGCATTTACAATGTAATCCTGCAGAGTTTGTGGCTTTGTATGACTGGTGGACTATATTCATTTATGTTTCTTGTCAATACGTACCTGTAGACTGCATACAAACACTATTCATGGTTTGATTGCAAAAGGTAGTCTTCCATTTTCCATCCAAGTCCATGTACACACAAGGTCGATTCCTGCTCGGTTCATCTTCAGCCCAGTTGGCGAAGTTAATGTGCCAGCCATCAATATACTTAAAATAACCCCCAGTCTGAAAGCAAGTGTGGATCAAATTATTCAGCATGCTGCTAAATATCATCAACATGTATACATCTGTTTGAAATATACTTCTATTAAGCACTATCAACAGGTCTAACAAATGTACAGTTTTAGATTGTTGTTCTAGCAGAGTAGTCATATGTCTTGTGGAGGTTTTATGCTGACTCTCATGAAGCCAAGAATTTTTACTAAATCAAATCTGCAATGTAGCTCAAGTTATATTACTAGAAGATATTTTTAAGCCATGATTTTACTGGAACTGAGAGTTTTTGTGCAACAGTACAGTCATTTCAGAAGTTTGCAGCCTTGTACCTGCTGCTTGTTCAGTCCAATCCAAAGAGGAGCTTTGAGATTCATAGCCAGCAGTTCAACATAGGCCTGTGTCCATTCAGTTCGCAGGCTAACCAGGTGGGCTCTTTCACCTTCACAATTTGTCTTGGCATCGTCCCAGGTCAGATTTCGAGTCACAGCCTTGATGCTGTCGTTTCCCAGAACTTCGTAGGAGTTTGGAACGCTTGGTTCTGGTTGGGATGCGATATTTGGGTCTGTAGAAAGCAAGACAGAAATTAAGCGATTAGCTTATGTTTTCATATAAGAATTTTGTCAGTTTTTTACAAACCTTGTCTTTATGTTACCGCTAACAATTTCTGAAACAATGTTTCTAAATCTAACTTAATACATGGGCTGCAACTAAAGTACACCTTTACTTTCGGGGACGAACGGTTCTGTATACCATTTTCACTCGGGGCCTCAATGTAAGACGTACTATACTAAACAAGATGTTGCATGATCAGTTTTTAAGCCATTATCACTTCTAAAACACAGGTGGGATGAACTCACCAAGATTTCGATGACAGACAAATCCATTGGTGTCATTGCAAGACCTGATAAACCATTTCCCGCTGCCAAGGGAAGGATTGTTCTGCATCACAACACACTCTTCCTGGTAAAGTATAGATGAGTGTAACGAATTCAAATTTTATTTCACCCAAACATGAAAATTTCAAATTAGCGTTTCAGTCCTTGAAATGTTACCTCATTCCATCTTTGATAAAAGCTTCCAGGACGACGTTGATTTTTCTACAGGAAACAAATGAATACATCATGCTGTTAAAAATATTTAAAACATAAAAAGTAAATCAGTACTAAACTAAAAACTAGTGTTTCAATGCCATCTCTAGTTAAAAATGTGTTTCTTGTTTCAATTGTACTCCATAACACCTAAAGAAAAACACAAACTGTGATGTAATGATGCGCTGACACACCCTGGAGCACATTTCTTCATCATTGCAGCAACATGAGAAGTTAAGTCAGTGCAGCGAAAACAGGATTTATGGCTGGTAATGTACATGAAGGTTTTACATATACTTACAGAATATCCCCAGTTCGTGTATCGCCTTGGCTTTCCATCCGTCCAGTAAAATCCATCTTGTCTTATACTATTCAAACCTATCCATAGATCTGCAGTTGCTGTTACAGCCATCTTAGCGGTTAGAAATGCTAGAAAAGTTTCAAAGGTAAAGTTAAGAATGTTTTTTTTCTGTTTTCCACTCGGGGTTAGAGGCAAGGTCATGGTTAGCAAACCTTATAGAAGAAAACTAATGCTTGAAGATGATTATTAACATTATGATTAACATTTTAGTTTGATTAAATGGCAAAAGACAAGATCCTTTTCCTAGCGTAGACATTTTTTTTTTCTCCAAAGAGTTATTTTCTCAGTTCTTTCCCAAAGGTCAAGGATGAACTTTCACACTATATTCTACACTTGATTGTATATGATCGCAATCTTTACAAATATATATATAGCAAAAATGGACCAAACCTTGAATACGTCTTTCAGGAATAGAGACCAAATTTCCTCCAATGCCTATGCACTGTCTTCTTGCGTCTTCCCAGCTGATCCTCCGGCTGTTAATACTATAACACTGTAGACAATGAATGAAGTTATTATTTTTCCCTCTATAGCCAAGCACTATCCTTTTTTGATTAAGCTTCTGTGTATTTTTTTTATACGATCAAACTATATTAAGGCTGAGAGTGATTTCTAACCTTTGTGCCAAATTGTATCCAATTAAGTGGGCAGCCACCTTTAGGAGGAACTGTGGGGGCAGCTGTGGTGTTGGCAGGTGCTAAGCCTCCTCGTTTACAAATGGACTGGTACTCTTGGCCGCAATTGGAAGTACGCCAGAAACCTGTGAGCGCAACAGAGATACAATGAGACACATTTCACCAGTAGCGTTTTAATTCATTTGGTGAAGCATATTCATAGATACTATGAACCCTTAAATTTGACTTTCTTCAAAGTGCTATTGGCTCTGAAGTGCTCTTAAGATTACTCACCCATAAAATAAGTCATTGTAACGCAGTTCTCATCAAAGGCATTAGAATCAGGTTGATTTTCTTCCCATTGTTGCACTGACAGTGAAGAACCATCCATCCACCTTTAAGCACACACAAAAATGCATTGTGTACTCATGTAAACAATCACCAAACCTTTTATCCATTTTGCCAGTTGTTGTTTTTGTGATACACGACTTGCTGAGTTATTATTATCATACATGTACAATTATGGATGAATGAAAGTAAATCCTTGTTTAAGGAAATAAACCTTTGATTCATTGTGTGCTGTCACAGGTTCTGTGTGTAGAATCCAGTGCTGTCTAGAGGTGAAATTGCATGTTGCAGCTGAATACTACTCATCTCACCCTCCCCTGCCCAACTTGAAAGAGAACCTGTGGTGAACTTCAGTTGTCATGAAAACTCAAAAAGTTTTAGTTTGTCCAGTTTGGACAACAGTAAAATACATGGCGGTCTACACAGAGAGAACCCAGCCTCCATGTAAATATACATACATTATGGTTAAGAAAACAACAATTCATACCATTTAGATGATTACACTCCAGTAACAACATCACTAGCATTATTTTATATTCAATTTCCGCCAAAAAATCCCTTTCACCTAAATCTTACACACTGGACCTTTAATTTAAGCAGTGTGTATTGATATTCCACATTTTATTTGTGATGTCATTAGATTTAACCTTTACTTGCCATGATCTGAGGAGCATTTGAATGTAACATTAACCCCATTCATGTAAATATCACGTCACCTGACTGAAGCTAAGGATGCACAAACTTCCATGTTAACTGACTTTAATCCTTGAATGTTATTGGGAGGCACATGACTTTTGTCTGGGTTCATCAATACTCACCAAAATGACCCATCAAGATCCACAGACAAACCAATATAATATTGCCCATAGCTTCTGGATATCTATGAAAACACACACAGAAATACACAGAAGCTTTAATAAAAATGTTGTTGTTATTAAAAGGACAAATTTGAAAGTGCTGTTTACCAAACCAACAAAATACTGACCTGTTTCCATAAGAAGACATTTTCATCTTTCCCAGTGATAGATACCAAGTCGCCATGTCTCTTCTGACAGAAGTGACGAGCATCTTCCATGGGCATTGACATTCTGTTAATGAAATACTGACTCCCTTTCCACACAAGCCAACCATCTGAAGTTTTGTTGAAATCTGCAAAGATATTAGAAACATTGATCATTTTAGTTTTAAAATAGTTTTTTAAATTCCTCACTATGTAGTAAATAATTCAACTTCCTACTATATGTAGACAACATTCTAATTCAAATTTGTTTCATGTTATTTTAAACTAGACACTTTTTTTTCGGAAATGATGCGCTGCTAACCAGGATTATTTAAAAAAGTTTTAATGTGAGATGTGTTGTGGGTCTATGGCTTTACAATGTCAACTTACCCACTACAGTAGCATTTGGAGGGGGTTTTGGAGTCAGTCCTGTACAGACACAGACAGCTGTCAATATCATTTAAAATTAAGCTTAAACAGAGCTAACACAACAATCATTCTAACTGCTACAGTTCTTATTAATATAGAATATGATACTTGCTGTGTAATCTAGTAATGTGGGGTAATGAAGCATGACTGCAGTTACACCATTAACATTTAGTGCAATCCAATACAACAGCTCTGCCGTAAATTCTATATTTTTAAAAAGATAATAATGTGAACTTTCGATTGACACTTTCAGAGATGTTTCTTTAACAAGTTTGTGAAATACATAGCATGTGGGAAGCGTTGTAGCATGGGAGCAGGCACTCCAACATTTAGGCCGTAAATAAGCATGAAAGAGTTGAATAAAGTTTACAATTAATTTCTCATCAGAATAGACAAAATATAAGCATTCAGCACATATTCTTTTTCAACTGTACCTATGCGGATCTGGCACAGCCAGTCATTGTATGCCTCACAGTTCACATCATTCCAAGACCCAGACTCATCCCAGTGATAAATTCTAAATTCAGTACATGATTCTGCATTATTAAAGTTGTTTGGCTCTCCTTCCTGCCAGTGCTGGAAGTTTAACTGTGAACAAAAATAAAACAAAAATACATGGTCATAGTATGTATAGTAATATGACTAAAATACATATACAGAAAAAATGCTGAGATATGTTTGGGTTATAGGATTCATTTGTAAAGAGAATAACACACAACTAACCGGAGATCCATCACTCCATACATAACCACTGCTTGAATCAGGAACATGAAGCCCAATCCAGGCTTTTCCATAACTACAGTAGAGAAAAAACATTTGAAAAAAATCAAATAGTTAGAAAAAGTGTGACATTCACTGCTGAAATAAAGCTTTATATATCAGTTATGTTCATCATCCAGTTAAAAATTATATTCAATCTACATATACCGTCCCAGTATTTGCTCCCCACTGCTGTGGATGCTGAGCAGATCTCCTCCAATGGCCCGACAGAAATCCCTTGCCTCAAACCATGTCTTCTCAAATTCACGGGGCCCTGTAAAAAACTTCAACAAAAGAAGTGTAGGTTGAAATTGAGTCCACCAGATAAGGACAGTAGTAGAGTTGAGGATTTGAATTGTTGGGACATCATTTGACTTGTGTACAGTAGCCTAAATATTGTATTTAGCTCTTGATGTACCTTAGAGCAGACGTTTCTTGTGCCCACACGCATCCAACCTTCGGCACACTTAGGAGGAGTTTGAGTGGGTGGTGGAACAGTTAAAACTGCCCCCTCTGCCAGGTGTTTGCAGATGTATTTTTCCTGGTTGGTGCAGGGTAGCAGATCCCAGAGTCCAGCAAAAACCCCAGTTGTCATAGCAACGCAGCCCTGTCGGTAACCTTGAGTGTTTGATTGAAAAATGATCTCATGTAAATTGTGGCATTGCCATTCATCTCTACTGTCTATAGATGGAGTTCATATTTTTTCATACCTGGCATTTCAGCGTTCCAGTGTGTAAACGTCACTAAGTCTTTGCTGGTCCACACAAACTCATCAATGTTTTTCTGGTTTGAGAGCCCAAGCCAGAAGTATTTCTCTGGTCTCAACCCCACCAGGCTGACAAGGAAGGCATTATCCACCCTAGAAATATTTACACCAATGTATAGGTTTCTTGCGGGATTGAATTGTATGACTCAAAAAACAAGAACATTTCCTACCCATTTGCAACATCAGCTAAGTAGGAGTCTGAGCTCTTGCAGTCATCTTTAGCCTCATCAAAAGTCTTTGTCGCAGTTCCTACAAAGTAGCAGTAGGAACCATGTCTTTTCCAACCCTGTTGGAAATCAAGCTTGGATTAAACTGCGTTTTAGGGCTGAATATCCATTCTGTTGACATTGATCTGCTGTTCACCAGTGAACGTTTTTAAAACGATGATTAAGTTGTGTAACAATTAGTTTCATATTAATCTGCTGTATATGCAGAATTTACAGAGCATAGATATAGACAAGTGATAACTGAATCAACCAGTAACAGACACCCTCTTTAGCCTCATACTTTTTTCATATATAGCATCATGTAAGCATCACTCACCGCTTTGCAGCCTATGTCCAGATCTACTTCTTCAACAGGTTGATCAGTTTCACTCTGCTTCATACAGATAAAGCCGTGTTTCTCATCACACGAACGATCTGCCCAGTTCCCCTTCTGAAAGAAGAAAGTACTATTGAAACACATATTTGTAGATTTACTGGGTGGATAATCTACACACATATAAACATCATTTATTAATGTTTAGATTTTTTAATGCAAACCGAAAAAGTGAGAAAAAAAGAAAACTTGCTCATACCAATGTTTTTTTTCTTTCACTACTGTCATTGATATTCTCATCTGATGGGATTTATTGCGCTTTTGTGACCCACAAACTGTAATAAGAATCTGTAGGTATTTAAAAGTAGTGGTGAGCACTTGTTTTAGTTAGTTGCTATCTGCCATCAATTTGGAAATCAGAAAACATCGGTAAATTCAAGAAAAGTAGTACATTTGTTCAAAAATCGAGATCATGTCTGCATGTGTGTATGTGTGTGTGTGTGT